GAAAACTGAATATGCAGATGGTGGAGATGGACCAGCTCCAACGAGGAGCTTGGCTGGGGTGGGTGGCTGTGGCGCAGCTTCTAATCGCCAACAAACTATTGTTGTCTACCTGGAGAGGTACGACATTCTGTACATTATGTCTTACAATGGTAAGGAACAATCAGGAAAACCAGCTGTAGATTCTTCATGCAAGGTGGAGCTGGGGGAGAAATTCTCCCCCATCAGCCGGCCTGGAGCATGATTCCCCCACTAGGCATCATCTGTATGTTTGGTTTACAACGAACGGCGACCCTACCAAAAAATTGGCTGGCCCATCAGATTTGGTCATTGCTTGGATCAATGCCATATATTTGGCGTGCCCAGCCCGCCCAGGTCGCTCCCATGTAATTTTGCCAAATCGTGGGCTCGCCAGGGCGCAGAAAATGCTCGCCAAAAAATTGGCAGCGTTGCCCTCACAATGCAATTAATGTGGTGGTTAAATGGCTGGGCAAATCATGCACGTATGTTGTAACTACCTGACTTTTGGATCAATTAATCCTGTGTCGGCCGGTGACCAATCCTGCTTAGCACAACCGAATAACAACCCAAACGTACCGAACACTAGTATTCCCCAAATTATCCCAGTTTCAGCAAGAGACTGTGGATTGAAATGCTATACTATGGTGACAACTTTCTCTTAGTTCAGTAAAGGAAAACAAGACCCTCTGGATGCCAGCATTCTTTCCACAGACATATGTGATGCGCATGTGTACTTTTACACGCCCGTTTTTCATGTGGCACATTTTGGTTAATTAAGTGTGTTTTAAATATGTGTCCCTTCTTTTTAATTAAAACAAAATTGCAAGCAAACCAAACAATGATCAATCCTAGTTGTCAAAGTTCATAGTGTGCCACGTTAGTTGGCTGTAAACCAAATGGAGGCTCACTGATTTTGCCAAAAACATTGGCAAGTATATTGGCTCTAAACCAAACACGATCAACTTAACAAAAAATTGGTCATGCCCTAGCTTTGGTCAGGCTAAAATTTTGGTGGGGCTAGTTGGGGCACAAACCAAACACACCCGATACCCTGAGGTTCTACGGCAACATGCCAGGGTGTGGTGAAAATGTCCTGCAGAAGTAAAGTCTTCAAACTGAATTCATTAAAACTGCTTTACCTTCATGGGTGTTTTGTCATGTATTGATGCTCTGCCACACTGAATTTGCTGTCAGGAAATGGTTCAGTCACTTCTATCCGCTAGCTACAGTGGCATCGTGCCAGGACCTGAAGGATGAGCTGACTCTTGGTGGTGAGTTGACGATAACTGCCCAGAGATGCATACAACGCATGTTGAGTGCAAAGAAAATGAAGATGTACCGGGGCTGGCTAGCAAGCTGGAAAGTGTTTTCTGATCCCTGCTTTGTGGTATGAAAATTGTTGACTGCCAATGTTGCTTCTGTTAGGATTGTTTGGTGTTGATCATATAAGATGTGGGTGCTTCTGTAGGGGGAACTTTGCAAGCCGGACAATGAAGTGGGCTGGGATACATCGAGATGATGATGAACTAAGAACTGATGGGATACAGAATTGTTGAGGAAGGTAAAAACAGCGGGTTCGGGCAATACCACCATGTTGAGTGCCATGGTTCGACTGGACTGTTATCTAATCTGTTGTTGGTCCGCATTGTAGTTCATGTTCCTGGTTACCTTCATGGATTGCTGGTCATTGTACATTCTCGATACAGAGAGGAAGCCAGTCATGGTCCTTGATCCAACTGAGACAGATCCAGCGGATGAGATGAGGAGGAAGCATGAGGTTTGGGCTAGGAAGTTCCAGCTCAAATTCTGCAAGTGATTGAACGACATGTTTGATGTTGGGTTGGTGGATACTACTGGATGGAATTTTTTGTACCCCTTAGTGGCGCAGCATGAACCATGCACGAGGTGAGTGTGTTCTTCCTTAACAAAAAACAAATATTTTTTTCAAAATTTAAAGCAGTAAAGGGCAATGAATCATCTAACTATGCTCACCAGGGAGGACAGCGGTGTGTACATCGTGCACTACTTCCTTGAATTTACCAGGCTCTACCTTCATTCACCGCTCAGCCAGGTAAGGCGAGGTGGTATCTCGAAAAAAAATGAACAAGCAGGTCAGTGCTAATGAAAAAAGATGTTTTATGTTTCTGTTTTGCCGCAGGCGCAGCTAGATGACCCGTGGAGAAAATTGCCTACGAACTTCTGACCATGAAGGGGGAACAAGGGAGATCTTCCAGGTTTCCTATGTGAGGAGATAGTTGACTGATGGGAATGAGTCGTGGTTCAAAAATTGCGCGGGTTGTTCAGATCTTTTGTCCATGTGACGCATGTGCTTTGACCATGCAAGTACCCCCTTATGTCTCCGGGGCTTTTGGAGGCACGCGAACCCCTTCTTAATATTTGATTTCGTATGGAACTTATGTCAATTTGTACTTATAAAATACCTAGTAAGTAGATTGAGTAGAACTACTTGTGTGCATTGATGTGAGATGCCAGACACATCATGTGGCTGTTAGCAGCAAAAACCTGGCTTAGTACTTGAAATGGCATGGAAATTATTTCAATTGGTGTGTGCACTGTTGTGAGTTGGCATAATATTCTGTTCTGAATTTGAAAAAGCTCGCATTTGTGGGATTCCAGTCTGAACTGTTAGTAATCAAGAAAGCTTGGCAAGTAATATGACAGAAATAATATGCGGGGTGCCAAAGGACTTGATGTAATTTTACCACGCGAGTAGTTGCTTTATCTTTGCCAGTTTATCGGTGTTCTTTTCGGACACTGTTACAACTCCTTAATTAATGGCAAGTCTTTTGCCTTATTTCAAAAAAAATATGACAGAAAAACAAAATTCCTAGCTGATACGTCCCTTCACAGACATGCGTGTCTCAAAAGATAGAACAGGGTAGGGGGGTAAAGAAAACGAGGCATGTTGCAGTTCCCTCGTTGTGAAATGAGAAGGGTAGGCGCAGGAAGTTTTGAGGGAAAGGGGAAGAGGAGAATTATGCTCTGGATAGGTGATAAGGACGGGCCATGCAGAACTGTTGATCGCCGTTTAATCGGCCGTGCCCTCGGGACGGCTCAGCCTGGCACAGGCAACTGAATGAACCGTGCCCGCATCAGCTGTTCCACGTACAACGTAACGTCTGCCACTGAAATAAATGCTCCTGCACCCACACAATAGCCAGAAAAGATACACCCAGAATACTAACCGGAATACGTTTGAGGGCACGGATCCATGTGTGAACGAACGCGAGAGATTTCAGGATCATTTGAGCCTGAGCTCAGAATTGAATATTCGCATTTGATGTTGTATTGTTGAACTATTTGGTCTATTGCAAGATAAACTATTTGTTTAAATTGTAATAATGAAATTGAACTATTTATTGTTGATTTATTTATGTTTGATCTTCTTGGTTGTGTTTTTGAATTGTAATAATGAAATTAAACTATTTATTGTTGATTTATTTATGTTTGATCTTTTTGGTTGTGTTTTGAATGCATATGTTGTTTGTGCGAGAGCGCATGCGCAGTTTTTTGCAGCAGCTGCTGGAGCGGCTTGCGCGCTGAATTTTGCAGTGGCCGCTGGAGCAAGCGCACCACGCCACACAAAAACAGGCGACCCACGCGCTGCAAATGGTTTTTTAGCGCGCCGCGCAGCCATTGAAGATGCTCTTAGTGCACAGTGTGCGGCGCCGTTGCATAGCGCCATCATTAATCAGTGAAGTAAGTTTTGTTGCTAAAGAAACGAAGAACATCGGAGCTCCTCGCCTCATCAGACCAGCCATAAAACTAAATGAAACATGACTACACCAACGAATAATCCCTAGCCACAAAATCACCACGAGTGGGCACCAGACATGACAATTTCTCAAAATTGATAAGATGCGACTTCTCGTGTCGTCACACACACACATCGAACAAACGTAATGTTTTCGAACAAAGGTAATGTTGATGTAGCTTTCGAACAACATGAACACACGAATCTGAACCAGCTGCCAAGATAACACGCCTGATATTATACATTAGGTTAAGGGACTACAGCAATGATTGCCTAGTGTATTAGTCTAATAAATATGCCCAGCCAATAATATAGTAGTGACCATATTAACGGCAGCATAAATAAGATGCCAGAAAGTAACTTCTGAACAACTGGCTTCATCCCGGCCCACAGTGAACCAGCCAAGGCCAGAACTACTTCCTTCTACCTTGTAGTAACGCCGCAAGAGTCAATCGCTCCCGTTTCCAGCATCTGAACATGCATAGAATTGTCACTATGGTAAGAAACAGATGTCGGCATTTCAGAGAGTGCATAAAGCTTTACATTAGGTGATTTACCATGAGAGAACGACAAAATAGTAAACCACTAACAAAGAAAATGCTTAAGGGCCTCTTTGGTTCACAAGATTCTTGAAATGCAGGAATAGGAAAAATACAGGATTGCAATGTCATGTCCATCTGAATCCTACAAAAATTTGGTTTGCTTGATTGCTTCACAGGAAAAGCAAAGGATTCCTTTCCAACAGGTTTGAGTCGATGCTGAAATGTAGTAGTACAATGGAATCCTTGCGAAAAATTCCTATGGTATTCAGTACCTACGAATCAAGGGACCGGCACATGAAAATTCCCCAAGGATTTCAACCGTCCAAAATTCCCATGGAAATCCTTTGAATCAAAAAGTTATTTTTTTTTTCCATTAGATTGTGTGGCTCGCACAGCTACACATATTTTAGGCAATTTGAATCATGGTCACTCCTTTACTAGTCAGCGTAGGAATCTACAGAAAACAGATGTAAATGAATATGTATGCAGGAGTTTCCTGAAATTCTCAAACTGAAAAATGTCTGACTTCTATGGCACTACAAAGTTTCAGGATCAAACTTGATACTATTTGCAGGATACGAAAGAAGATAAATATAGGTGCAAAAGTGATAAAAACATTTAAAACACCACCTAGTGCTGCCTGCCAGGTTCATATCTTTCAAAGTTCAATTTTTCCAAACTTCATCGCAAAAAAGTTAATGTAGACAACAATTGATATTTCTCCTCAATACAACAGTAAAGAAAGTTGTAAATAACAATGCTGCTGACAGTAAATTCAAATGTTACAAACTATTGAATCATACCATCAGCAGATCCATCTCCAGCTTCTGCATCGACGTCGTCACCTTTATCTCCACCCTCCACATTCTCCTCTTCACCATCATCATCATCGCTGTCACTATCAGCTTCAATTTTAGGCACTGGCAGGGGTATAAAACTAGATGCATTTCTCCTACGAGAACTCGTGATAATATTGCTCATGTCTATGCCCTCAAGATCCTTTGCTCTTTCCTTTCTTTTTCTCACTGCTTTAATTTCTGTTTAAAAAATGCATAACAGTTAGGCAAGTCAACTGATTACATGTAACATAGACATGCTTCAAGTAATCTATACATTAAATCCAGGCAGCACTCACAACAGAAAAAATATATATAACCAGCTAAAAGAGTTCAGGAGCAAGGTTACCCCATCACAATTCAGTCACATATATTATTATTTGGAAACACATTCTACAGTGTTCATAGTTTTGAGAAACACGTGATAGTTTTCCTATTCTGTTTTAAGATTCAAGACTCGTTAATGCACTATTCCTAAATCTCTACTTACTATAAAGAGAGTTTTGTCTTCTGTCCTGAGATCCTTCCTACCCCCGCATGATAAAAATTGGGAGAAAAAATATCATCGCAAAATCAGGAGAAGAACTCCATGCATGATCGGTTAGGGCAAAAAAGAAACAGGAAAATAAACATACACGCCCGCGTCCTCGCGTCACCAAAGCACAACTGCCCTTCTCTTATGTAGAACTCTCCTGTGATCTCTTATAACTGCCTCTCTGGTGCTAAAGGAATTGGAGATCGGAGGCGGCCACAAGGGGAAAGAAGGACCGCAGGATGAGGCTGGAACGTGCTCTCGATTGGTTCCGCAACAAGACAGGGTCACAGGGCCAGACGCTCGTCATCTCCCACATCCACACGCAGCGCCATTAGGCACACCACCGAGGTGGCTTCGTCAACGGTGGCACTGGATGGTCGCAGATGGCCAGCCCAGCCTCTGTGATAGGCCGCAATGAAGTCGGACTGGTGGGTGGTGGACAGCGAGTTGGCGTACCTCACCGCAAACACTCCGCCATCTCACGGGATAACCTCCAAACTGCCGCCGCAAGAAGATGCGCGAGAAGTTCATGCGCCTCGACCTCCCATGGCTGTCGTCTCCTCAGAATTTGGTGACCTTCACCGCCAAAGACGCCAACGAGGTCACCTTCCTGGCTTGCAGCTTCCTCGTCGTGAGCCCAGGAGATGGCATGACCTTTGTGCCTCCCTCCTCATGCTAAGTTGCCATGGCCCATGTTCACAGCCGCTGGAGCCGATCTCAGGTTCGATTTTTCAGAGCTCTTCCACCCCGGAGCCGGTGGGCCGGAGAAGCCACTCTCCCTTCTGTTCTACCTCAGCAGCAGCAGCCCTCAAAACCGCGACTCCCCTAGAGCCACGGGCGGCGAGGGCAGGCACGAAGCTATCCCATCTGTTGAAGCCGACTAGACTAACAGCCTTCTCGGATCCCAGGTTGCCTCGTTCCTTGCCCCTCCCTACTGTTTGTTTTATCAGTGCATCAAGTTACCATACCGAGAGTTTGCTAAAAAAATGCTTGGCAGAGATTTATACCTTTTAATATGCTTGCCATGTGTTTGTTAGAATGATTTACAGAAAGAAAATGGTTTAACATGAGATTGGTTTGGTTTTATCAATTGTTGAAAAACGTTTCCAACGATGCATGTTTTATTTGCAGGCATTTCGATGATTTAGGCAAGACTTGATTGAAAGGAAAATATGGTGGGAGCTCAGCTCAAACCTGCTTGGGCAAATCCAACTGGTGGTGTTTTGTGGAGATGGCCAACATGATTTGTGTCAGTGATCCGGAAAAGAATGTTCAGAAGAACAATGGAGCACCAACAACGGGTTAAAGGTGTGTATAGGCACGGATGCAGAAGACCAATGGACCATCAGCCTAGCAAAGCATTCGTGCTCTGTTTTTTGGCCAGAATCTGTTTCTAGATCATCATTATTACTTGCTGCTTTTGACGCATCTCATATATTTCTTGCTCATCGAATGTACTCATCATTTACCTCCCTCCGTCCCAAAATTCTTGTCTTAGATTTGTCTAGATACGGATGTACCTAATACTAAAATGTGACTTGATACATCCGTGTTTAGACAAATGTAAGACAAGAATTTTGGGACGGAGGGAGTATTCAAGAATACAAGGCACCTAACTGATGCAACATTTGAGTGATAAGAAGTACACTTAGTTGTTTCTCAGATTCATGAGCACGTAGTGGTTTATTTTTTATTCATTGCAACAAACAAACACTTTGCTAGTCAAGGCAGAAACTCGGATCTGTGTGGGTGGGTTCACAACCTTGTGCACCCACCGCTTGATCCTGCACCCAAGGAGAGTTCTCCAAGGTAAAAGAGTTCGAACGAGATTATCCCATCACAATTCAGTCATGCAGTATATATTATTATTGGGAACAAACACCTTCCATAATGTTCATAGTTTTGACGAACACGCGATAATTTTTCCTTTTTCTGTTTTAAGATGCAAGGGACAAGACTCATTACCGCACTTTCTAAATCAAGGTAGAAGTGAGAATCGGATCGGGTGGGCAGATTCACAACCTTGTGCACCCACCGCTGGATCCTGCACCCAAGGAGAGTTCTCCACAAAGAACAATTCGATTACCTAACATCCTAATGCTACCCATATAAACTTTTGAATATGAAACAACAGAAGCTTCCGCACATAATAATTACAAGTAATTCAGCAACGAACTGGACCTTTCTCAGAAGGGTGTGAAGACAATCCTTCCTTTTCAAGTATATCCTCCAACTCCTTTATCAAACAAGCCTCACGCTTGCTCTCCGGGGCCTGCTTTGCCCTCCGATACACAGAAGGTGGCACACTAGTTTAAGATAACACATTAGTAAAATTCGTTATTTGAAAATGCATCAACTTGCATTCAAGTATCCAAAGTAAGGCTTACCTCATTCCACAAGATTTTATTACTGACTTAAGACGTTCTACTCGTTTGCCATGGGCTGGAGCTGCCTGTTGTTTTTGTGCAAATCAAAATATAAAAACGGTAAAGCTAATATATTGAGAGAACAAGTATTCCAGAACCCAACATAAAAAACAAATAAAAACCTTCTTATCATTCACAGCAGATGAAAGGGGATTATCTTCTGCAGAATTTTGACCTTGATCTTTATCACTTTTATAGTCTCTTTTTGCAACCTTTTCAACCTTGAGAGTTGACAATTTTTTCTGCTGTTTTAGAGATCTGCCTTTTTCAGCCCCCCTCTTTATTGGCCTTATATCCTCATCACTGTCTTCCTTCTCACTATGACTATTATTTAGTTCAGAGGTATCAGAGTCTTGACGAGCTCTTTTAGAGCCTTTACTTGTTTTCTGACCAGCATCCTTGCAAGCCTCCTGTTTACTATGATCCGTTGTTCCATTTTCAGGTTCTTGCAAAACCTATCATACAGAAAAGAGAAACACAGTCAAAAAAGTCTTTCTAAGCTAAAGCTAATTCAAGCATCACACCACATGAGCTAACCAAATAGACACGTTTCTATTGCACATTTAACACTTACTCTATCTAACTCTTTGGTAATAAAATCCTTAAAAGCATCCAAAGCTTTCCTCTCAAGTTTGAGGTCTTCTTCTAAAGTCCGTCGAACTCCTAGTAGAGTAAGAGTTCTGCATTGCTTCATTTTGTGAATACATGCTGAATAATCAAACACGCTACAAACAGGTAAAATGGATGTTGGAATGTTCTGTAAAAAGTCACTTATGCTCTCCTCATTTAGATTTAATCCAGACTCCAGCATTCAAACCAAAATCAAGTAAATACAAACCTACATGCTTTCGGCAAGATAAAATAGACATGCCTAGAAAGTACGAAAAAATCTGAAGCATAATCAGAACAAGACATGTTTTAGTGTATAATTAAACTCGATATAAAATTTCTCGTACATTAATAGTCAGTACCTGATAATTCATTTTAAGATGAGTACTTTATAATGCTAACGCAATCAATCTTTACTATTAAATGGGAGTTGGTACGTTCGCTTCCTTGCCTCCAGGGTTTTCCTCCCTCCTATGATTCCCTCCCCCACCTTCTCCGTTCCGATTTTTTTCTCCTGCCTTTTTTTACGCATGAAATAGGTTTTTCCCCCATTGGGTTTTTAATCCCTCATGAGTCGGACGGCTCCCTCTCACCTCTTCCCACTCGAGCGACCCAACACTCCTGGCTATGGCGTACCCTAGATGGCCACCGCCGATGAAAGCTCCTCCCTCGCCCTCCAGCTTGCAAAAGATTTCTCACCGCGGCCAACCAGCTTGCGCCACGTGGCATAGCTGGTTGGCCGCCCTTCACGCGTAGCTTAATGGTTTTAATGTTTGCACCACAACAATGCCACACTTATCCACGCCCCCACGGTGTTATTAGTGTACCAGGAGGAGGCTAGCAGTTTAGGGCAGAGGAGTTCTCCGGTGTGAGCTATGAACAGGAGATGTTTTTGTACATGGATAAGCGAGTTAAGAGTGAGTGGCCATATAAATTTAGCTGATATTTATCTTTGAGGTAACTTGCAAGAGAGCTAATTTACATCTTCTGTTGTGGTGTTTGCCTATAAATCTTTTATGATGTACATGTTGCAAACTTGATAGACATCAGACTGCTCGCTAATTAACATGGACATTCATTCTTTTTCTCCTTGATTCTTCATGTCATAGTTGTAGCTGCACAGATCATATTATCCTTATGTACGAACAAGCAGAAAAGTAGGTTATAACTCACCACCCAGTGCTAGACGTGATTGGGTTACTTTTTTGTTTCAGATCTTAACAGCGGAGCGACAGTGCGATGGAAGTGGAGCTAGAGATTGAGCCTAGGATTGAGCAGAAGCGTAGTGAAGCCCATATACATCAGGGCAGAGCTGGAGACAAGGCCATTTTTTGCTGCCTTACCTTCGTCAATTCGATGAAATATGGGCATGCTTTGGTACCCCGAGTCACTGTCTTCACCTTATATGTAAGATATTTGACTACCGAGTCGCTGGCACTGGCAGTTAAAATACATTGTATAGATTACTTTGTCTGGTCTACTAGAATACAAGAGGCACCAAGGTTGAATCAGTCAGGGAGGAGCTAACAATGCCTGAATCAGAATGGTATTGGTCAAAAAGTTCGTCAGTCTTAGCCGCTTCTTATGAATACATTAGTTAAAGTTCATATTAGTGTCATTTTGGACTACTGAATTTGTAGGAATGATATAATAGTTTCAATTAGACTAATTTACTGTAGTTTTATTTTATCAATAGATGTAGGAGTTTCTTACCTCTATGTTTTTTATCGAAGATTAAGATGTCTGGTATTATATCCATTGTCTACTTAGCAGGACATCTTTTGAACAAAAAATCTGTGAAACTTGCACATGTATCGTGGTCAAAATCTGCGAAGTAGAATTAATGACCTTTTGACCAAATGTTCAATTTCCGTATGTTTGTCGCCCGTGGCAACGCATGGGTATTATGCTAGTTATTATTACAAATGCTTGATAAAAGGCCTGTCTTGTAGCTTTCAATGGATCAATTATGCACTTAATAGTCTGTTATTATCACGGTTCCTAATAAATAATCAGATCAATGCAAACAACTAAATCTCATTGACCTTTTCAAGTTCCCATGTTAAGTTTCCACCAGCTGTGACACTACACTGCCCACATGCCCTATAAATTATGCACTGCATATACAAGTTCCAACTGACAGTAATATTGCCCGTTTCGGAAATAAATCTTTATAGCATGACAATCTGCAACATAACTATTTACTACCCATGAAGCATTATCTTTTACTGGTCATGGGAAGAGAATACTGTATCTCCAATATGAACCCCCCCCCCCAAAAAAAAGATATTCCACAATGCTATGGAAATACAAAATAATGTCTTCCAACTAAAATAATCAATCAGATCACAGATGGAATGGTTGACCCCTTTTTACTTTCTACAGGCTCCCAGAAGCAAATTTTACAATTTTAAATTATCACGTTCACACCAATACTTCTGACGGCATATGTGTTTATGTCACGAGGTAAAGGTAGATTCTTATACTCAAGCAAGATACTAGTAATTGTTGGCCATCGCAAGGCTTTCAAAACAGTAACAGTAGAGATTAACAATGACAGGTTAAGGAGGCATACTCTGAGTTCTCTCTAAAATAGGAAGCCCTTTTGTCAATAGCTTTCTTTATCATAGCTTCGGTGATATTACTACCAGAACTGTGATTTTTCAACCCCTCCGGGTCTTTATCGGTTTCACTGGATCTTGCCCCCTGCTCATCAGGACTGGAGGAGATTTTGTTTGAGCCCGACATTGGTTGGGCATCTTCTGATAAGTTATCCACTTTAGCTTCAGCCCTCTCTGATGCATTATCAGTATTCTCATTGTCACAACCAGAAAACACCTGGTATCGTGCACAACGGATAGTAAAAGTGAACATTACAGAAAGCTGAGTAAATAATATGTGATGAATACAAACCTAGCAGGTTCTATCTGAAATTAAGAAACAAAAATACTTCTGCCTCCATTCCAAATTAAATGAAGTTCCACCTTTGTCCTAAGTCAAACTTCTTTTTACCAAGTCTACAGAAAAATACATCCACATATATAAAACAAAATTAATTTAGTAGATCCATCATAAAATATATTTCCATACTATATATATTTGATGTTGTAAAATATCGGCACAATTTCCTGTAGAATTGGGATAAAACTAGTAATTTAACAATTTGGAATGGAGGGAGTATTATACTAATGGAACTATTCCCTCCGTTCCATAATGTAGAGCCTATAGATTTTTATAAAAGTCAAACATTACAAACTTTGACCATGTTTATAGAGAAAAGTAGGTACATCTAAAATACCAAATGCACATCATTGGATACATCATGAGTTCTATTTTTAGAATGTCCATGTTTGGTATTACAGATGTAGATAGTTTTCTCTATACACTTGGTCAAAGTTGACAAAGTTTGACTTCCATAAAAATTTATAGGCACTATATTGTGGAATGGAGGTTTCTAAACTTCCAAACAAAACTTAAGGGAACTAACATCTGAACAATCACAATATTTTATCAAATAAAAATAAAAAAATATACATGATTAAAGTTCCCCAGTTACAAAATCTGGGCGCAGAAATTTTGAGTTCAACAACGAATTGACCAAAATCATGGGCACAAAGGTTTAACGGTTGAAAGTAACAACATATTAGCTATACAAGTGCAATTAAATTTATCTAGCATAAGTACATACTGCACCTCATCATTCATTTCTCACTTATTAACTTGTCATATGAATGATAATCTCTAAATATCCTCCTGAGTTTGTATTTAAGTTAAGCAGATTTCATTCTCAGTGACAAGTCATCTGATATAGCACAAAAACTACTGCTTATTACTACATGGCCTAGAGTGCTTAGCCATGCGTGTATCAAAATTTGGAATTAGTCATGCAATCGAACCAGTACTAGTCATAGGTACAGGTTAATGGACTCAAGTGCTTGTTCTACGACGCGCGTGTTATATCAAGTAAATGTTATTATGGTGTCTTCACAAAATATTAAATACGTTATGGGTACTCAGTTTTCACATTCATGTAAGTAGTCACATTATTATCTTGAAGATAATCAGTCAACTTTGCATTACAAAAGAAGATAAATTAGTCAACTACAATGCCGATTAAATCGGAGACAATTGTTCATGCTTACTTTTGTAGTAAGACATCACATTTTTGGAATAAGAAAAAAAATTGCAGTGCTCTGAAGAGAGTAGGAGCTAGGCAGGCGGCAGGTTGGCACCTACGGCCTACTAAGGACTAGGCAGGAACAGTCTACAATTCCAAGATAAATAACTTCATTTTCTTAATCAAAAGATAAGCCAATCTGCAGAATACACTATTTGCAAAATAATCAGTGTTAGCTTCTTAGCAGATAAACAAATACAATTAACCATCCATGCAGTCAAAAACAATAAAGGCCACAGATACCTTTATATAATTCAGCCCAATAGTTAATTGCACTTGTGGTATTTTCTCCATGTTAATTATTGCATCATCGGAAAGCCCATGTACATTATCATCCATCATACCTTGTCTACACATTGCCTAATGAACTTTTTATGAGGATCAAGTGAATTTATCTTCAAATCCATGTCCTTCTCCAATGTTCTCCTCACACCTTCAAGAGTCAAATAGCTGAAAAGGGGAAACATCGATGTTATATTCTTCTGCGTTGACCAAGATAAATAAGAGGGCACAAATCGTCCAAAATTCCTTAAGGAAGAAGAAAACACTGGCCTCTACTTATAGACTAGAAAGCATAGATGGATGGTACTACCCGACGCACCCAGGTCTAAGAAACACCTTAAGTTGTCATGATCTTTTTGAGTGTCGCCTGCTCACAAGAAATCTGCTTCCTAGCCCTTACTAACCTTTAATAGCTGCATTTGGTATAGCACTTGCAAGTTGCAACAGCTTTGCAGAACACCGCCGAAAGGAAGAACCAACCATGCACATTGCATTACAGGACACCAAGGTCCATTCCCTCTGGCTAACACATGTGCCCATACACAGCAATGAAGTGCCCACAAAATCGACAAAGCCAGCAGTACACAACAATAAACCGCCCGCGAGGTTCCAGTTCCCTCTGTCTAAAGGATAAAACCCTAGAGTTTCTTTTCCATCCCCCTTAAGACCTAAATCTTAGGAGCTACAGGTACTGTGCCACATTCTGGACGGACCTGGAATCAATGCAGCCTGTTGCATCTATTTGCTTCGACCACCATCATCGCACAGACTAATTGAATCCAGACGACCAAAACCCTCTCGGCTCCAGAACAATAGAACATACACCAACGAGCGACAGGCTGAAATTCGAACTCCGAAGCTGCACATCCCCGTCGCCGAACCCCTCGGACAGCAACTCGCTCCGCGCGCCGCGCGTCGCCCAGACAAAAACCCTAGAAGGCATAGACCCCGCACAACCAACTAGTCCGAGAAGGGGAACGAGCAGAGGTGGAGAAGGCGCTCACTCGGCCTGCTTCTTGAAGAAGGGGACGCGGGCGCGGAGGGCCTCCATGATCTCTGCCTCCCTCCCCCTTGTAGCCGCGGCGGCGGCGGCGCCGTCCGCCTCCATGCGACGGTAGCAGTGATGGTAGACTGGTAGCAGTGAGGACTTCTTTCGGTGGTAACCGCGACTATCCCGCTGCTTCGGTCGTCTGCCTTGATATGCACAAAGTTATATTTTGGGTCCCTTAACGCGCACACGTTCTGTGTGGTGCTTAAGAGGACCAGCCCACATGTTTGTGTGTGGGTAAAACAACTAGCGCTCACATAATTTTCTCAAAAAAAAACTAGCGTTCACACGTTTTTTTTCCTTCCGGTCTCTTTTACACGCGTGCGTGTGGGCGAAATAGATAACGCCCACACGTCCGGTACGTCAGGCCTCGTACCTCGTGGTCCCGCACACCCCACGTGACACTTTATCGCGCGCACGCAGTTGCCATGGGTCAGACCCTCGTCTATGTTCGTTTAAGTGCAGTTGCCATGTCGCTGAACTACGGTTGCCATGTCGGATAACTACAGTTGCCATGTCTGCTAACTGCAGTTGCCATCTCAGGTCAAAGTTCCAGATTGCCATTTTTTGGACAACTACAGCTGTTGCCATGTGTGGTCTGGTCTACTGCAGTTGTCATGATTTCAAAACTTTAAGAGTTGCCACCTACTAACACTAGGCAGTTGTCATCTCAGGTCAAAGTTCCAGATTGCCATTTTTTGGACAACTACAGCTGTTGCCATGTGTGGTCTGATCTACTGTAATTGCCATGATTTCAAAACTTTAGGAGTTGCCACCTACTAACACTAGGCAGTTGCCATGCAGCACTGAAAAAATGGCATGGCAAAAAAACATGTTCGAGTAAAAGAGAGAGTTTCCATGTGCTCACAAGCACGTCAGGGCAGTTGCCATGTAAAAAGAAAGAGTTGTCATCTGCTTATGTGCATGCTAGGGCAATTTGCCATGTACCATGCAAAACATATGGCAACTGACATGTTCGAGTAAAAAAAAGAGTTGCCATTTGCTTGCAATCACACTAAGGCAGTTGCCATGTACACTGCAAAACGCATGGCAACTGACAGCTTAAGTGTGGGAGAGGAGGCGGACGTGTGGGCGAGATGGCAAACGCCCACACATCAGCCCTTGTGCATGACTGAAAACTGATGTGTGGGTGAACTGCTAAACATCCACACACCGGTCCCTCCGTGTGGTAAAACGAATGTGTGGGCGAACTATGTCATACACCACACACACCTTGTCCTACGTGGCACAGAAAATCAGTCAGATTGTGTCAAGATTCGTGCATATAGTACTGGACGGTGATGAATACGTGTGAACGAGATGGTCAACGCCCACACGTGTGGGCGTTAATATTTTCGTATATTTTTACAAGGCAAGGCCTATGGTGCTTTCCGAACTTCACGTGCAAAGCATCAAAAGGGTGCGCTGCAACACGAGAAAAAAATATCTCACGCTCTTAATTTACAGAAAATGATCTACAATTTGAGTAATTGTAGCTACAGCCTAAAAAGATGATATTTGCCAACAAAAACGCAAGTTCAAGATTCCACATGTCTTCTATTTAAACACGCCTTACATGTAGATTTAATACGTACAAACAAACGGGCAAGTGATCTTTAATTTAGTCACTAATCCTGATTTTGCCGAGATGTTCATCGACAATCCGGATCAGTACTGATATTAAAGAAAGACCGATAATGCACTGTTGATTAAGATTGGATCCTAGATAGTAATTTATTTAATGATTAACATGTAAAATAATATCATATTTAGATTCTATGAATTTTTCTAATCAAAATTCATATATAACATGTTAAATTTGGTTACGGTTTAGAAGATATGAGTATTTTTTTAAATGATATGTACTGCGGGTTTAATGTTAGAAATATTAGGGGATTTTCTGTAAAATAGTATGACGGACTAAGAATACATATTTCTTTTATTCGTAGGTATAGATATAGACTGCGTCCAGGTTTTTTTGTTTATTTTCAACCGGGTTTTTTCATCCTCCTCCCACCACCCTCTCCATGCCGGTTTCTTATTCACCGATTTATTTACGCCTCAGCTATTTCCTTGCAAATCAGCACTTTCTTAACGTATACGCAATTACGGATTTAACTTTAATAACTTACCCAAATCAATCGATACCTTTCACTATTGCAAATTTTTTTAGGAAACAAATAATAGATTTTAAGTACGCATCATACACCATTAACAAAAACTCAGTATGAAAGCATTATGTTCCTACTTAATTTGTAATGGAAATATTATATGTACTATCTCTTTCTCTTACTCCTCCTAATGGATCCTCCTAAAAGAGGAGTTTGTACATTTTATTCCTTGTGCTTTCTCTTTCTAGACGGACGCCTCTCGCTCGCCTCCCGCTCACAAGCCAGCCGACCCTGGCGTAACCCTAGATGGCCGCCATAGCCTGCCCAGCTCCAGCCGCCAACGCAACACCGGCTCTCCGCTTTGAAGCCTCCCCACGTTGATTCTGCTCCCAAGTCCCAACGGCGTGTGCTGCACATCGATCTCACTTGCAATTGAGCGTTGGCACGTCGTTCTCGTCGGCGACGGTCGTCGCGCTGGTGCTACTATACCCCGCTTCCTTGCCTAACCACACAGATTCTATCCTCCAGGGGGTAAGCGACGATGAGAGGAAGCGGATGTTTCACTGCTTCGTCCTCCCATGGAGAAAATTGGACGATTGGTAGCTATATCCTTCAACTCCAAGGGTGTTCCTTCCCTCCAGTCTCCCTCCTAGGTAAGCTCTGCCTCAATTCCATGTACACGCACGCTCCCCTGAGACGTTCCTCCTTGTTTGTTGGTCAAACTCATTGACATCTTTATGTTATGTTGTAGTCTACCCCTAGTAGCAACCTCAGTTCATGGTCCTCGCGCCATGAATCACCTAGAATATCGGATGGTGCTGCTGCTCGAGATCTCATGTGTTTGTGTTTAAATGATCCTTGACCCACTTCTGAATTTTGCTTTCACTGTCAATGTCAAGGTCGCACCCGACGCACTGGCCTGAAGGCAACCCTTGTCTCAATTGTTTTGTGGATATGCTACAGTTCACGGTGTTTTCTTCTACCACAATAAAATGAATCTCCCCTTGACTATTGTATGATCAATGTATGTGAGGAATTAATTTGCAGGTTTTCTCGTCCACCAAGGAGCACACATAATGTAGCAAGCCACGAATGATTATGCTTAATTGTAGTCAATGGGTACCATGTCTTTGTTTAGGTATATGGACATGAAGAATATTTGCCTGGTGAAAGTGTGCCTTTGAAGGTAGTGAATTTTGTTGGGGAGTGTTGCAGAAAATTAAAAATTTTCCGACGATTTCACCAAGATCCATCTATGAGTTCATCTAAGCAACGAGTCAAGGGAGTGAGTTTGCATCTACATACCACTTGTAGATCGCGTACGGAAGCGTTAGATGGAGCGGTGATAATGGAGTCGTACTCGCCGTGATTCAGATCACCGGAGATCCTAGCGCCGAACGGACGGCACCTCCGCGTTCAACACACGTACGGTGCGTGTGACGTCTCCTCCTTCTTGATCCAGCAAGGGGGAAGGAGAGGTTGATGATGATGGCTCCAGAAGCAGCACAACGGCGTGGTGGTGGTGGAACAGCAGCACTCCGGCAGGGCTTCGCCAAGCACGCGACGGAGGAGGAAGAGGTGTAGCAGGGGGAGGGGGCGCCAGGACTTCAGGGTGCGGCTGCCCCTCTCCCCCCTCCCTTTATATAGGCCCCCAGGGGGGAGCCGGCCCTGGGAGATTCAATCTCCCAAGGGGGCGGCGGCCAAGGGGGGAGGAGTGCCCCCCAAG